AACTGGCAGGAAGGTAGAAAAGCCAGGGTTTATATATCTTTTCCAAACTATCTAAAACTAATAGAAATAATAAGAAAAGGTAGAAGTGGTAGAAATGGTAGAAACGGTAGAATAGTAAAAACGGTAGAAATGGTAAGAACAGTAAAAATGGTAAGAATGGTAAGAACGGTAGAAACGGTTACTATTCTATCAGTTTCTAATGCTACACGCAACTAACCAATAATATCTAAGGTAATATGATATACAATAATAGAATACAAGATAATAATATAATACTAATATAATAATAATAATATAACTACTAATAATTAATAATAAACTTAATAATAAAACTAATACTACAACTCATTCTATAACAATACAAATATCTTTCTATAAACTGGGCCCATTGGGCCAATCTGGATATGTTTATAAAGCCCAAACACGGCCTAGTATTTAGAAGGCCCAACCCAAGCCCAGCCTAACCCACAAATTTCCAGGTTTGGCCCAGCCCATTCTGTACTCTAGCCAAAAGGAGTATATAAAGATATATACAGACAGCCAGATAGCAATTCAAGCAATTTAAAAAATGACAAAAATAAGAAAAATATACAGCTACCTTAAAATGAAGAATAGAAGTCTTTTGGATCAAATAAAGCATATAAAAAAAAGAAAGCAACTAAAGTTTGAACTACACAAAATAAAAGAACATAGCAGAATAGAAGGGAATGAAGAGGCAGATAAACTAGCAAAGGAAGGTGCAAGATCGAACAAGGTTATAGAAGTACGGCTATTATAGACTAAGCTAATATATACTATACCTAGGTGAAAAGTGTTAATAGTAGATAAGCCTATCAGAAGTTTTGTAAACTAGATCACAACAGCGATTCTAGATGCAGAATGAGCAGGATTAAGTAGAATGAAAAGATGGATAGGGGAGGAAAGAGATGATAGTTTAGATTAGAGAGAAATATGAAAATATATAAAAGAGATAAAGGATAACAATTGGTTAGATAGTAAAACAAATAATAAATAGATATTTAAGATGAAATGTTTAAATGAAATACTGCCAACAATGACGAAGCTTAAATCAAGAAGGCCTGACCTATACAAGACTAACAAGTGTATCATGTACTAAGAAAAACCAGAAACAATAAACTATTTAACAAGCTGCGAAGACTATCAAGGCATATAGAGTACTGGATAACAGTCTTATAAGACCGTTATCTAGTTGCATTATACTGTTATTTAGTTAGAACAATATAATCTAGAATTTTATAATAGATTATATCCATCCCAAGTAGATTATAATCTGTATTACCATCCTCAGATATGTGGCCAGTTTCATAGTTTCTCTTTTTCAGATCGTCTGACTAATTAGAAGAGAAGATGCATAATTCTACCTTTCTTGGTCTGTTTGGAGACTATCTTAGATGCTGTCTTGGTGCCTATTCAATACTTGTCAAAATATCAAAATGTGGTAAAAAAAAATTTGTATCAGATAGTGCAGTAAATCTGTGTTTAAATTTGCCTAGCACTATAGTATAATTCAGGCTAATCTTTAGAACACATATTTTGAAAATCCAACTTGGCACCATAATAATGTCTGATAGTATTTAGAACTATCTTAGTACTGGCAAAAAACTGGTAGAGAACCAGAAAAGGTTCTATCAGTATGCCAGTTCTGGATTACTTTTATGCTGGTTTGGATGCCAAGTTATTGTATTCAAAGTTCTGACTAAAATTATAGAATAGTGCTAACCATAATTAACTGAATTTACTGTGCTTTCAATTGGTTAGTAAATCAGAAGTACGATGCGATAATACTAGTTATCTCTAGAAAAACTTGGTATATATTTATTAGAGACACTTCTAAGGACAACTTTAGTATAGAAGATTTGCTTTCTAAAGCCTTTTATCTTGTTTTTATCTATCTGTCCCTAGTGTCCCTAGTAACTCTAGTAAAAAGTAAAGTTTAAAAAAAATAATTCGAAACTTTCCTATGTTATATATACTATATATATATGCTATATATGTATGATATATTATATACTATATATATTAGTATATTAATGAGTAAAAAAATAAAAAAAGTATAGGTGTTTAATTTTTTTTTAGTGATGGTAGGGACACTAGGAACATCTATCTAGAAGTCTTTTCAGAATTCTAAAAGTGCCAAAAAGCCTACCTTCAATGACTCAGAAAGTGTTTCCCACATTTTTTCTAGAGACAACTTTCTAAGGCCAGCCTCTATTATATTAGATATTTTTATTTTATTGAAAGCTTGTTTTAATGCTTCTGGTGTTTGCCTATTCTGAAACATCTTATCCAACTTTTTCTGATAATAATATGCATTCAAATAGCACTTTTAACATGCCAATCACATAACCTATAATTAGAAACCATCGATCTTTCACAATATTCATATTTGCATAGAAATTGCTAGCATCTTTTCTGGTAAATAAACATCCTTCTTGTTGCTTGCATCTCTGCTCACAAATCTTCTCTTCATTGAAATGATACTAGCAAATATACTTATCCCCATTTGATATTATTTTTGGATAACACTTTGATATCTATAATAATTATTTATTTTTATTTTAAACTTTTTTGTTAGAGTATTATACTGAAATGATATACTAGATAACATATTTGAAGCATGTTCCAATCTGAGCTTTCAGAGAATTTAGACAGTCCGCCCCATACTTTTGTGGATTAAAAGCTTCTGATATAGGTGCATGCTTATATAAAATTTATGATAATAGTGTTAGACTAAGGAATTTTCTAGGCGCAAACAATGCAGATGAAATAGAAGCCATACTTTTAGATTGTAAAGGATATTTCTTACATGAATTCATTGATGGGAATAAGCCACTTCAACCCATTATAGATTTTGATTTGCCATGAGAGGTGCATGATGTCATTAAACCTAAGCTTATATATAAAGAAATACTAGATACACTCAATCGTGCCTTTAGAGATATTTGTCTTAAAATATTCCTAAAGTAAAAAAAAATAATATTACTGTTGCCAGTAGTACTAATGCAAAAAAAATATTCCTCTGCATTTCTACTACTGATATGAGGTTTAAGAATATTGCTTAGGTCGCAATATTTACTGAACTTGTCTATAAGAAACTTTCAACGTCTTTTCAGAGAAATAGTATTATAGATAATATTGCGAATAAATATTCATTTTCCTTGCGAATATTTGGTTCGCCTAAGTATGATGAAAAAACAAAGAAGCATGTTTATGTGAAAAAAGCAATACATCTCAAAGATAGAACCATTTTTGACTTCATAATTTGCCTGCCAAATGATGAATCAGAAGTCATTAATAGTCCTCTATTGAGCATTTCAACAATGCTGACAAAGTCAAAGACAGAAACCATTACTGAAGCCAAACTCAAACTGGTAGAGAAATTGCTTGAAAAGACCAGTATTGAAGGTTTTAACCTCTCACTTCTATCAGAATCATTTTTCAATGCCTTTCCTCTCAAACGTATAAGCCTATTGCATTGTTCATTATGTGACTGAGAGTATACAAGTGATAATGCATATATTATTCAAAATAAAAATCTTATAGTTTTCACTACTATTATGCAGACCAAGAAAGACCACTAGGAGCGAAAAAGCCTTCAATAAAGCTTGCTCTTAGTGAGACTACCTTAAGCTGAGAAAAAAACCTTCCAACTCCAGTAAAATTATATCAATCTAGAATTTTAAACCTAAATAATTATTTTGTATGGTGGAACTTAATATGTATATGTACTTCAGATAAGAAATTCTCCTGTACTGAAGTTTATGAAGCAATCTAAACAACAGTTGCCTACATTCAAAAGAAAATATCAAAATAGATACTAAAGCATAAAGATTTAGAGAATAAACTTTATTTTAATATAGAACCTAAGCTAAAGATTGCCAAGTTTGAGATTAAAATAATCGAATTTGGGAGTAAATCAGTGAATTTAAAATTATTAATAGACCAGATAATTATTAAAAGTCTAATTGTTTATGAAGATTATGATCTCCTTCCATATCCTATAAACATTCTTCAACCAAATTCAGATTTCTTTAACCTTTTCCTAGGATTTTTAGCTAAACCAGCATCAGAAATTAATAAAGAAATTATGGATCTGATTCTTTGATATATATTAAACGTAATTTGTGATAGAAACAAAGAACTCAATAAGTATATCTGGAACTGGTGAGCATATTTAGTACAGAAACTACAGAAGAAGCCTCAAACAATCTTAGTACTAAAATTCACATTATAACAGTATGAAAAAAATATTATTACTGATTTTATTAGTGACAAAGTCTTGGAACAACATCTTCATTATACAACATCAGATTTAGAAAAAATTCTTGGACATTTTAATAGTGCTATCCAGACTCGAAAACTTATTGTCATAAATGAAACAGGTATGTTTAATGGTGATTGGCATAGATTTAATGGATATTTTAAATCTCAAAAAGTATCTATAGAGCAAAAGAGTCTTGAACTTAAGCAATTAAATGATTTTGCTAGATATATAGTTACAAGCAATCAGGATGCTCTGCTTAAAATAAATATTGGAGATTCTCGTATAGTTTATTTTAATATCTCAACATATTATAGGGATAATATACTATATTTTGACTAGTTAGGGAAAATTATAGACCATCTGGATGTATCAGAAGTAGTCATATTATACTTTCTTAGCTGTGATTTATCAAAATTCAAACCAGAAAAAATTCTTTTTACTAAAATAAAAGTAAATACAATGTGAAACCAGCTACCTAATCCCATTCAATTTATAATCAATCATATTTCTTTATGGTCTGAGGATAAAGTAACAAAACCAAGCTGTACTTTATTATATCAGAATTATCTTGAATGGTGTGAAGAGAATAGGAAAAAACCATTTAACAGCGCCATTTTAAGAAAAAAGTTTTTACAAATTAGTATTGATCAGACATATTCACAAGATAATAGAATAAGAATATATTAGTACATTCTTAACCATCCTAAAATCATAGCCAAGCTCCGTGAATTTGGCCTAGATAAAATCGAAGAATTTTCTAATACACCTCAACCTAAAAATAAGACAGCAGACATACCTATATTCAATATACCAGAAATTATTCCTCTAAAAATAATACCGCCTCAGGTAGAAAAGAATCTCCCTCCTAGTAATAAAAAAGTAGATAAACAGGACAATATAACCTAAGCTTTATTTAACTATGTGGTAGAAGAAGCTGAAGCACCAGTTGCTTCAATATCTGGGACTTTCAAAACTTTTAAGAGGTTTAACCTATCTAAGCCAGAAATCAATAAGTGGTCTCAAAAGGATCAGCTCGAAACTAGCAAGCTTCTTGAATCTATTGAGCCTATTAGCGAGGTGATAAATATGCCTTCTAAAGAAGCTGATTCTCTCAAGCCTATCAATGAAACACCATCTACCATACTTATAAGCAGGACTTAGTATAACGAACGTCTCAAAAAAAAGGCAATCGAACTTGGTGAGGATCCTGATATATTTGTAACTATCACAGAAAAAAACAGGCTCGATTCTATTGTATTCTGAGATAGAATAGAAACTGATACTCAGATGTGTGATTATAGAAAAGAGATAGAAGAAGACCTCAACAGATATATGGACATGACAGTATGGGAAAGATTAATAGAGGAAGAAATAATACGTTGTGATCTTGAAGATAAAAAAATCATATCCTTGTGGCTTGATATTAATAAGGAATGACAAAAAAATATAAGCATACTCCAAGAGAATAGTATGCTTTGGTAAAGAGCGAATTATTATTATTACTATATTATTTTCGAATTAAAAAATAACTAGACTAATATATAACTAGATAACACTTATTATTCTCATAGCTACTAAAACAATCACCTCAAATATCCAAAAACCTAAAGCTAATAGCTTTGTATTGGTCTTAGAGCAATTTCTAGAAAAGTATAATCTAACAGCTGACTTCACCCCAGAACAATTAAGCAAACATGCTTTCAAACTTGATGCTTTACTTCCTGATTAGATGGCCAGCAGATGTGTTAAAGTCGCTCTTGCCAGAGGTACTGATAACAGATGCTCATTTAGTAAAGAGTGAATAGAAGCTTTCTTATTAGATAAAAGAAAGTGAAAACTCACCATAAAGGAAAGAGCAAAATATTGTATTAAAATTGGCGATGCTATAGACATTTTCACCCATCATTTAGATTTAGACCCAAAAAATGATTATGAAAATGAAATAGTTGCTAGTGGTTTATACTAGTCGCAATTTTGTGTAAAATTAGCAGAAGGCAAGGTAAGTCCTAAAATTATTAATACCTATACCAAAGATCCAAAACTTATTCAAGAGTTCAATAAAATTTAGAAAAAGCAAACTAAAAAGCGAATAGCTAATCCAAATAGAATTCCAATATACTTCTCGTCAGCGAGAGTGCTTAAAAGGATTTAGAATATGGATGTTTCTAAAATTTCATCTAAAGAAGATCTCACAGATATAATTGTGATGTTGAGTATGAGACCCGCAGAAGTAAGATCTCTTTAAATTATTTACTATAAACCAGATTCTTTGAATATTTCAGTATGGTATAAAAAAGGTTATTCTTGGTACTATATAAGCTATTTAAAAAGTAAAGGAGAAAAGAAAAAGAATCCCAAGCTCTGACTATTTCTTTCTATAGAAAAGAGCCCAGAACACGCAAAGGAATTGTTTATCTGGATTCAAAATACAATTAAAGCTAAAAAGTTATCTGACTCTATCTTTACTAGAAATAGAACATGTAATACTTAGCTATATAACAAGTTTTTAAAACAAGAACCTTATAGAATCATACCTAAAAAATTAAGAGATTATAGAAGTAAATATGCTTCCAGAATCCATGGTGATAAGAAACTAACTCCCTAACATCTTAAACTGCTTTTGAGAATTGCAATGAGGCAAGAATCAGATCGTCTTGATGCAAATGATAATTATGCTATAGGTGATACAGAATCAAAAGAGTCTGACTCTGAATCAGAGACAAGCAACAGTTCAAACTCCCAATTACAGGCTTCTTCATCATCTCAAACAATAAAAATGGATTCAATGTTAGCTGAAATTGATGCAATGTTAGCTGAAATTCAGAAATAAATATCAGAAAATAGATCCAGGCAGTGATTAGCGCAAACAATTTGTTTACACTTACGTAATATATTTTATATTAATATATGCTAACCAATACCTTTATTTTTCTGAAGCCTACATATTTGAAATATATTTTTTTACTTACTCACTCCCCAGCAGTTAATTCAAAAGTTTTCCAGAACCTTGGCTCTGT